CAAATCCTAGAAGGCAGAAAAAGAGTTGAAGATGAAAATAGGAACAAAGAATGAGAGCAAACGGCAGAAAACAGCAACAAATACATGATAGATATTAACCCAAGTATATCGAAATCACTTTATACATCACTGAATATACCAATTAAAAGATAGACACTGTCAGAGTAGTTCAGAAAAGAAGACCGAGCTATATGTATGTTTTTTACAGGAAACCCAGTTGAAATGTAAATTCACAAACATTAAAAGTAAAAGAATTTAGAAACTTATTCCATGTTAACACAAACCAAAGAAAGCTGGAGAGCTACATTACATTCACACAAATCCATCTCCAGAGTAATGAAATTCATTTGGTCTATAGATAGAATGCAATCCCAGTTAAAATCAAGGATATTTCTTCTTTAGATATTGATAATCTGATCATAAAATTTATGTGCAGAGTCCAAAAACCTAGAATAGTTAATATTGAAGAACAAAAACAAAGTCAGAGATCTGAACCAACCTGATGCAATCTCTAGACTTATTATAAAGCTACAGTAATCAAGATCGTGTGATGTCGGTGCAAAAATAGACAAATAAATTATTGGAAGAGAATAGAGCCTGAAATACATCCACGCAAAAATAGATGACAAATTTTTGGAAATGAAGCAAATGGGGAAAGGGTGGATTTTTCAACAAGTGTTGCTGGAACTGGACATTCACATTCACTAAAATATTATTTGTTGCCCAGGACTTAGGGGAAAGGGAGGGATGAATAATCAGAGCAGAGAGGATTTTGGAGGCAGTGAAATTATTCTGAATACTACTATAATGGTGGGTGCATGTCATTATACGTTAGTCAACACCCATAGTATGTAAGCTATAAACTTTGGTTAATGATAATGTGTCAATGTTGCTTCATGAATTGTAATTAATGAACCACACTGGTGAGGGTTGTTGATTGTTGGAGATGCTATGGGTTGTTGTGTGGAGGCATTCTGGGGGAACTGTGTACTTTACACTGATTTTTGCTTTGAACCTAAAACTATATAACGAGTATCTATTCATTGGGGAAAAAAAAACTTCGTCTAATTCATAACTCTAGCCAGACTGATGTTTGCATTATTGTGTGACTATAAAGGACTTAATGTTGTTGCCATCATGATCATTTGGACTGAGGTAGGGATTTTATGGGATGCATGTGAGATGTCAGTGAACTGGGAGCAGAAAAGCAGGATTTTAAGACGAAGTCTTGTGGTGAAGCTTTGGTGAGACTTTAAGTCACCCAGTGTCCAACTGCTCATTCCTAAAAAACATAGCAAAGTTTAGACTAGTTGACATCAGCAATCCTTTCTATCTTTATTTATGCTTATTTCATTCTATAAACAGAAACATCCAGGCAGCAACCTCAGCTCAACAGAAGGGAGGAGAAGTAGAACAGAAACACCTATATCTCAAGGAATGAAATCATTGCTCTGGAGAGAACAACTGAGCTTATTTTATCCAAAATAAGGTGGAGTGTTTCCTTTAAATTTTAGAGCTATGTGAGTCAGTCAGCAATTACTGCTGCTCTTTGCCCTGGATGAAGTTTCACCAAAACTTGGACTCGCTCAGGTCCTAAGGGTTATAAAAGTCAAATTTTTCTGACCTGCATTTTAGTCAAGTGGTGCTATAATTATTAACTAAGTTAAAGTTTATTTTGAAAGATGCTGATAAGGCTTAATCCTGATATACTGATGTGCAGCACGGAATCGGTGAACTTTGGTGAACCTGATTGAACTGAAAGCTTTTCTTGGACGGGAGGGTGCGAGAGGCAGGAGATATGGGTTCCTATCTCAGCTGTATCACCTGCCTGCAGTCTATGTGCCCTTGACGAAGGCACTGAGTATCTGAGACCCCGCTTCCTCATCCATAAAATGGGAATAATTTTACTGTCGGCAAAGGGAAGTCAGAGAATCAAATACAATATGGTGGATGTGAAAATTCTCTGTGTATCTGAAAATTGTCAGAATCCATATAATCATGATCAATAAAACTTGGTGTAACCGGGTCTCAATTTTTTATACTAAAGTGGTTTAGAAATAATTGTACTAGTTTTGTAAAGATATTAATGTAGAATACAATACACACTTCTTTTTTTTACACAACATGTTTTTGCACAAGTATTGTCATTAATGATCTCCTAAAGTATATATTCCAGCTGTATTTAGATCCTCATGAATGCTAAGTGTCATCTACAGTTCAGGTCTGCACATCATTGTGGTTCTGTGCTGTGGGTTCATTAAATGATTCCCCTACCTCCCCTCCTCTGTTGAATCCACAACTGTTGTTCTGTCTATAAGTTCCATTTCTTGATGTGCATTATCACCTTCTATTATTTCTCACAATGGCAGACCAAGAACAATTGTTGTAAGTAGCTGTGTTTGGAGGCAACTAGGAGACAT